GCAGGGACCCTGATGCTGGCTGGATCCCAGGACCCTGGGATCATGAGCTGAGCCCAAGGCAGATGCTTAATGAGTGAGCCACCCAGGCGCCCCACATTTGGCATCTTTTTTAAAGAAAATTTTCCCACCCCTGAAGTTCCAACAATATTCTTCTACATTTCCTTCTATTGGCTTTATAATTTAGTTTTTCAAATTTAGGACTTTAATCTGCTTCGAGGATTTTTTTTTTTTGCATATGTTGTGAGATTCAACTGAATTTTTCTCCTTAGAGTGAGAGAATTTTCCTGTCTGTCTACTAAATAATTCATCTATTTCCCACTGGCTAGTGGTCTCTTTCTATCCCAAGTTCCCCACACTAATACCTGCTCTATTTGCTCTTCCTGTGCCAGTACCACACTGCTCTGACTATTCTAGATTTGAAATATGTCTCATTATTTGGTAGGGTGCATTCCCTCCCTTTTGCTCTTATTTTGAGATGTATCTTAACTATTTGTAGATATGTGTTCTTCCATGTATATTTTAGAATCAAATTCTCTTCACCTAGAATTATGATACAATTTCGTTTAATTTATAGGTTAATATTGGGAGAATTGCTATTTTTATAATGTTAAACTCTTCTGGCAATGAACATAACAATATGTTCTTGTTTATTCAGGTTTTCTTTTATGCCTTTTAATTGAGTTTTACATTTTTATGTGCGTTATTTGGTAGTTTAGTTTCTATATATTTTATAGTTTTATAACTACTATAAATGGTATCTTGTTTACTGGGTTTTGAAGGTGTAGAGGAATGCTATTGATTTCTGTATGTTGCCCTGCTATGTGGCAACATTCCTGAACTTGTGTGAGATCTAATAATTTATTAATTCCCTTGGGTTTTCCATATAATTGACAATAACATGTTTCTCTCTTTCTTTCCAATCCTTGCATTCTCTCTTTCTCATGGCATTACATTGGTCAGTTCTCTATTTTTGTGTCAAACAGCAGTGGTGGTTAGCCGGTCTGTTTTGTTTCTGAATTAAAAGTGATCACGTCTAAGGGTTGACCATCTAGAGTCTTTGACTTCTAGATCCTCTTTTAAAGGGCTACCTGATTAGGTCAGGCTCACCAAGGATAATCTTCTTGATTAATTAACTTAATTAATGTATTTGTAAGATTTTATTTATTTATTTGAGAGAGAGAGAAAGAGCATGAGCAGAGGTGGGAAGGGCAGAGGGAGAGAGAGAAATAGAATCCCTGTGAGCAGGGGGTCAAAGCAGGGCTCCATCCCAGGACCCTGGGATCACAACCTGAGTGGAAGGCAGATGCGCCGCCCAGGCGTCCCTTGATTAAAGTTTACTGATTTCAGAACTTTAATTATATGTGTAAAATCCCTTCATATCCTTTCTTATCATATCCCTTTGCCATATAATGTGACCTAATCACAGGAGTGATATCTCATCATATTCATAGGTGCTGCCCACTCTCAAGGGGAAGAGATTATTCAAGGGTTTGTCTCTGTTGGGATATTAGAATTCTGCCTACCACATACTTCCAATTCAAATTCAGGACTATGTAACCTCATCTACGTAACATCTATATCTCCTTTCTGTCATGTTAAGTCTCAATTCTCAATAACACCAATATAATTACTCATTTGCTTTATCCTTCAATACACACCACTAACAGTCTCAGAATACTAATGCCAAGACTCTACCATTAATGTGATTTACAAAAATAGTTTTTAAGATTTGTATGTGTAGGGGTACCTGGGTGGCTCAGTCATTAAGCGTCTGCCTTCAGCTCAGGTCATGATCCCAGGGTCCTGGGATCGAGCCCTGCACTGGGCTCCCTGCTAAGCGGGAAGCCTGCTTCTCCCTCTCCCACTCCCCCTGCTTGTGTTCCCTCTCTTGCTGTGTCTCTCTCTGTGTCAAATAAATAAATAAAATCTTTAAAAAAAAAAGATTTGTATGTGTATGTATATGTCTGTATTGCAGTTCTTTTGTCCTTAGGCTATGTCCCGCTAAGGATTGTAGAGTCAAGTTCCTTGTTTTAAAGTCACTTCCAATAGCTCCTCCATGTGCGGACAACTTCAAACAGTGAGGTTCATTTGTTTCAATTTGTGTTCACTTCTTAGGGATTGCTTTTTTTTTTTAAGATTTTATTTATTTGACAGAGAGAGACACAGCGAGAGAGGGAACACAAGCAGGGGGAGAGGGAGAGGGAGAAGCAGGGGGAGTGGGAGAGGGAGAAGCAGGCTCCCCACTGAGCAGGGAGCCCAATGCGGGGCTCGATCCCAGGACCCTGGGATCATGACCTGAGCCGAAGGCAGACGCTTAACGACTGAGCCACCCAGGCGCCCCTTAGGGATTGCTTTTTAACTTAAATTTAATTTTATTTCATAATTATGTTAAAGATATACATAGTTTTACAGTAAAACTCACACAAGGTACATTTAGAGCATTCTGGTTTCTTGCTCCTTGTCTCTTTCCTCCTCATGAGTAGTTTAAAAAAATTTTTTATGACTTAGTTTCCCATTGTTTTTTAATATAGGCAAATATGTATATATGTTTATATCTCATGGGGCAGGAGGATCTCATCACAATTTCAAAGTTTTTAATGGTTATTTTTCTATTTAAAGTTTTGTGTTTCTCTTTGGGTTGATAGGTGTTTTCTGTTTTTCCAGCTGTGTATCCCTCTCATTGATGTTTTCAAATTTATTGGTGTATAGTAGTTCATAATCTTTTTAAAAACATCTATTTTGCCTGTAAATTATTTTTCCCTTTTAATTTTGTGTTCTGTTTACTTGTATATCTTCCTGCTTCTTATTGATCTTATGATGGGATTTTTTTTATTATGTTAATCACCATACATGACATCATTAGTTTTTGATGTAGTGTTGCATGATTCATTGTTTTGACGGGATTTTTTTAAAAATCATGTTTTGATTTAGTTATTCATATTTATTGCTTTTGTCCCCGCTCCCCCAGCACCTCACACCATTGATTTTGCCATATCTTTATTATTTCCTTCCTGCTTATTTCTTTGGGGTTTTGCAGTGAACACTTAGCTCATTTGATTTCAATATTTCTTATTTTTTTTTAAGATTTTATTTATTCATCTGACAGAGAGAGAGAGAGCACAAGTAGGCAGAGAGGCAGGCAGAGGGAGAGGGAGAAGCAGGCTATCCACTGAGCAGGGAGCCCGACGTGGGGCTTGATCCCAGGACTCTGGGATCATGACCTGAGCTGAAGGCAGCCGCTTAATGGACTGAGCCACCCAGGTGCCCCAATATTTCTTATTTGTTAAGTAAATGTATATAACACTACAAATCCCCTTTAACTACTACCTTATGTACACTTTGACACATGGTACTTTCATTATATTTTGTAATTTCCCTTATTATAATTTCTTTATTCTAGTATTTAGTAGTATTTTTTACATCTCCAGATTTTTAGGAGTTTGAAACCATTATTTATTTTTTATTTTTTAAAAAGATTTTATTTTCAAAAGAGAGAGAGAGAGAGAGAACACAAGTAGGGGGAGCAGCAGAGGGAGAGGGAGAAGCAGGCTCCCCACTCAGCAGGGAGCCCGATGAGGGGCTCCATCCCAGGACCCCAGGACCACGACCTGAGCCAAAGACAGACGCTTAACTGTCTGAGCCACCCAGGTGCCCCGAAACTATTCTTAAGAAAAAAAAAAGATTTATTTATTTTAGAGAGAATGAGGGAGCAAGTGGGAGGAGGGGCAGAGGAAGAGAGAGAAAAGCAGACTCCGAGTGGAGCAGAGCCTGATCATGATGCTGGCCCAATCCCAGGACCCTGAGATCATGACCTCAGCCAAAATCAAGAGACCACGCTTAACCTACTGAGCCACCCAGGGGCCCCTTGAAGCTATTCTTTTGTTAATGATTTCCAAATTTATTGTATTGTGATAGAGAACATGGGCTGTATGATGTTGATTTTTTAAAATTTACTGAGGTGCATGACTAGTAGGTGACTGATCTTTGGAGTCTCCCATATATTCTTGAAAAAGATGTATATTCTTTGTTAAGTACAAAGCTTTTTATTAGATTGAGCTCACTAATTGAGTCATTCAATTGACCTCCACTGCATATAAAGTCTTCTTTGTCCCTTATGATGTTTTCACCTGAAAGTCTATTTTGGGTGATATTAAAATTGCTACTCTGGAGGTTTTTTTGGTTCATATTTACCCTGTATCTCTTTTTCCATCTCTTAATATTCAACGAATGATTCCCTGGGCACTTTCCTGGGCAGTACTGTACTATAGCACGGCAAGCATCAGGATGCCCTTGAGCTAAGTTCAGTCCCTCAGCTGGAAGGAGGGAAGCCTCAGCTGTCTCTGACCCTCCCCAGCACCCTGCTCATTTTCTTATTTTCCTCTCCCACATCTGTCTTGTTCATTTTCATATTCCTATCTTGTAGCACAGTCCCTGACATCTGGTAGGCATGCAGTAAATATTTGTTCAGTGAATGGAGCATACAGCCTTGTTGGGAAAATAAGACCCCCTGAAGAATAGTTAGAATTTATGGAGCACTGACTACATGCTAAACCTTCTCCTCACATATTACCTCTCTGATCTGAACTCCTACCTTGCTCTTCTCTTGCACCCTACTCTAGCTGCACTGGTGTTACTGTTGTTCCGTGAACACATCAACCTCATTGCTGCTTCAGGATCTTTACACCTGCTCTCCCCAGATTTTGCACAGCTCATTCCTTTGCATCATTCAGATCCCTGCTCAAACGTCACCTCTTCAGACATCCTTCCTGAGTCACCCCATCTAAAATACTACTCTGTACCTCTCCAAATCTAATCACTCTCTATGGTCTTTTCTTAAAATAGCAATTATCACTAAAATGGTTTGGCTACATGTTTACTGTCTGTTACCCACCAGAACGTAAGTACTTCGAGGACAAGGGGTTTGTCTTGTACACCACTGTACCCTCCTTTACAGTAAGTGCCTGGTAAACAGTAGACACCAGTAAATTTTTGTTGGATGAGAAAATTTTCCTTTAATGCTCAGGGAAATAACATTTTCAACAAGTGTGATTATACCTACTTTTATAGAGGAAGTAATTAAAGCTGAGAAAGGTTCAGTAGCTTGCCCAGGGGCACACAGCAATGCAGCCAGGATTTGAACAAGAGCTCATTTGACTCCAAAGCCCATCCCTAATCTCTACCTCTGTGCTACTGTCTGCAAATGAAGTAGAATGTAAACACACACAGGACATTAGGAAATCAAGGGCCAGAACGGTGGCTTGTGGCTTTTTGGATGAGATCAGCTGGGCTGGAGTGGTTGGTAGGGGAGAGCTGGGCTTCTGGGTGAGACGTGGAATGGTGGAGGGAGGGAGGGAAGCAGGGCAGGCAAACCCTGGGCCCGGGCCTGGGCTTGTCCACGTGGCCTTCTCCCTGGCTGAGGAATCGGTTGGGACTTGCTCCTGGGGGGAGCCGTGAGAATGGAGGGCAGGCTGTAGGGGAGGACGGCACAAGCCTGCATTCCTGGGCCTTTGGGTCAAACCCTCCACAAAGAACCCGTGCCAAGGAGCCTTTGTGGACTGTGGCTGAGGGAGTCAGGCCCGGCATTCTAACTAACCCGTGTGGCCTCCGGCGAGTTCAGACCTACTCGCAGCGCCCCTGCCAAGCCAGCCATCTGTGAGCTGGGGAGGGCCGGCCGGGCGTCCAGGCTGCAGAGGCGCTTCGGAGCCAGGGCCTCTTTCGTAGACGGGATCGGTGGTACGGTTGAACCAAGGGGGAGCCGACCCCGGAGCCAGCTTCCCTGAAGAGCGGGCGGGAAGAAAGAGCCACGGCCGCCAGTGGCCTGGACTGCCTGCGGAGGCTGTGGAGTTCTCACTTCCTTGCCGATGACAGGCGCGCGCGCGCGAGGGGAGCAGGGGGCCCGTCCGGGGAGGAGGCTCCGTGGGCAGCAGCGCTCCCCCCACGGGGGTCACTGTGCGTGGGTGGCAAGGGGCTGAGGGCAGGAAGCGTGGGGACAGTTCAAAGCCAGCAGCTGGGTGCGGCTTGTCAGAAGGCCCCGGGAAGTGAAAGTCCACCAGGGAAAGGAAAGGGGAAGAGAAAACAGCAGAGAGGGGAGGTGGCAACAGCCACTGGGGGCAAGGGAAAGGCAAGTGTTTTGGGAGCTTCTGCGGGCACCTTTTCCTGGGGGAGGGGACGGCAAGGCTGAGTCTTGCATCGTGCATCCTTCACACAGCCTGTTCCCGAGGAGCAGATGCCGGGTAAGGGCTGTTCAAACGCGCACAGCATCCTTCTTCTTCAAATTCCTCATTTCCACCCCTGAAAAGGTGGTACTTGATTATCCTTGAACCCTTTAAAAGAAAAGAGTAACTGCAATTTTCATCCAAGGTAAAGTTAATTACTTTCCTCAAGGCTGTCTTCCAAGAAAAATGCTCTAAAAATAAGAAAAGATTTTGGTGATGTTAGGGTAAGATGTTTTCCCCCTCAGAGTTGAAAGCTCAAACCCTTTGCACAAATATTCATTATCAGATTCTTTTATCACTAAAAGGATGCCAACTCGACCTTTTAAAAAAATGTTTTGTTTTTGCCTTTGATGAAATTTTTATTTCCAGCACCCTCCTCCCTGCAATGTTCCCTCTTCTGCCTGTGACAGACACACTGAGTGAGACAGATGCCACAGTCACTTGTTTGGACCAAAAACTGTGTAGTTTTAAGGCTGATTTGGAGTCTACTAGGGGAAGGGAAAGGCTGGATAAATTTTAGGTGGTTCAATGAATGCTCGTCACCATCCAATTCCTCACCCGAAATAAAGCATGGCACCCAGCAGGCTCACTCTGCATGTTTCCTGAATGAAGGCAGGTTGGAAAAAAGAAAGCGGAGCTTATCATTGAAAAGCACTGGAAGTAGGTGGCATTGCAAGTGTGGACTGCCTCCTAAATCAGTCAGTGTTCCTCCCCAGCCCCCTCCTCAGGAAACTGTGCATTTGAGGCCCTAGAGGTCTGGACTCTTGGGTCCAGGGTCTTGCCTCTAGAGCTCTGGTCCAGAGACCAGCTGTATCACCTCCTCTAGGAGCCTGTTAGAGATGTGGACACTCCATTCCTACCTTGGAGTCACTGAATCAGAATCTGCACAATCATGTTAAAGATCATGTTCAAGTGGAAGAAACACTGTTTGATGGTACCTGGGCCACTTCCTTTCAGAGGCACCTGGTCAGGAGGCCCTTCAGGGTCTTGGCTTCAGATCTGGGCTGCAGGACAGCTCCACACTGCACTCTGTACGGAGGGCTGGAGGCCACAGAGGGTTCCGATTCAGTTCTCCTATTAAAGGAACTTCATTACATGGGCAAGTGACTTAAAAAGTAAAAAAAAAAAAAAAAAAAAATCAGTCTTACAGAAAACTTACAAGAATAGTACAGAAACTTCTGCATATCCTATACCCAGATTCCCCAACTGTTAACATTTTTCTCTACTTATATATTATTTTGGAACTAACGGAGGGCTAGTTCTACACATAGGTCTGCCTGTCCCCTTAATACTTCAGTGTGGACTTACTAAGAATAAGGACATTCTCTTATGTCACTGAAACACCAGGGCCAGATTCAGGGGGAGGCAAGCAACATCGGATCAGTGGCCCTGAGAGGGCTTCCTAGGAGCGTTGCTCACCGCACCCTAATGCTGGCCCTGCACACTATACTTGCCCAAATCAGAAACCTACATGGATTCAATACTATTATCTAGTCTACTGTCCATATTCCAGTTGCGTCAGTTGTCCCAATAATGTCCCAATTTTTCCATACCCAACTCAAGATCATGCACAGCATTTCATTGTCATGTCTATTGGGTCTCCTTCAGTCTGGAAGAGTTCTTCAGTCTGTTTTCCATGACATTGACATTTTTGAAAACTACAGACCGATTATTTTATAGAATGTTCCTCAATATGGGAACAAGTTATTTTTAATCTCTTGATAGTTCAGTTTCACCACCTATAGATTGAGAATAGTTCCTGCTTCATGTTGAATTGAATAAATTCAGACATCTTATAGACTTGACATATGACAGGTGTACGTGGATTTAAAAAGTTAGCTAATACTGATTAGGTTCTTGTCAGTACAATGTCAAGTGCTTTACAGGCATGATCTCACCGAATCCTCCCTACAGCTCAGTGACACAGGCTCTGTTTTTGTTCCTGTTTCACAGGTGAAGAAACTGAGACTTAGAATGATTTGTCCACTGTCTAAAAGCTAGTAAGGAGTGGGGCGCCTGAGTGGCTCAGTCGGTTAAGTGGCTGCCTTCGGCTCAGGTCATGATCCCAGGGTCCTCGGATCAAGCCCCGCATTGGGCTCCCTGCTCAGTGGGGAGCCTGCTTCTCCCTCTCCCACTCCCCTCTCTCGCTGTGTCTCTCTGTCAAATAAATAAATAAAATCTTAAAAAAAACCCACAAAAACTGGTAAGGAGTTAAATGGGGACCTGAACCAAGTCAGCCTGCCTCCAAGGACTATTTGCTTAGTAACCTTGCTAGTGATGCTTACTTAAGATGTTAAGTTTTGGTTGTTATTTGTTTTTAAAGATTTATTTATTTATTTATTTTAGAGAGAGAGAGAAAACACAAGCAGGGAGGGGCAGAGGGAGAGGGAGAGAATCTCAAGCAGATTCCCCACTGAATGTGGAGCCTGACTTGGGGGTCGATCTCATCACTCTGAGATCATGACCTGAGCTGAAATCAAGAGTTGGACATTTAACCGACTGAGCCACCCAGGCGCCCCAAAATGTAAGTTTTTAAGATAAAATTTACATAACATAAAATTTACCATTTTAATCATTTTATTTTCCCCCAACTTTATTGAGATATAATTGACATACATTGTGTAAGTTTAAGGTATACAACGTGATGATTTGGTACAGGTATACATTGTGAAGTGATTACCATCACAAGGTTAGTAACACATCATTCACCTCACATAATGACAATTTTTTTTAGGTGGTGGGAATATTTAAGATCTCTCTTAGCAGCTTTCAAGTATATAATACAGTCTTATTAATTAAAGTCACCATGCTACATGTTAGGTCCCTAGAACTTACTCATCTTATAACTGGATGTTGGTACCCTTGGACCAACATTTCCTCATGTCTCCTCCAACCCCTGGTAACCACCATTTGACTCTTTGTTTCTATGAATTTTAACCATTTTATTTATTTGTTTCTTTCTTTCTTTATTTGTATTGAAGTATAGTTGACACACGTTACATTAGTTTCAGGTGCACTTGTTTTAACTATTTTAAAGTGTACAACTCAGTCTCTTTTAATACATTCACAATGTTGTACAACCATCAGCACTAATTCCAGAACATTTCCATTACCTCCAAAAGAAACCAGTGTCTTTCAGTTCCCCTCCTCCTATCCCCGGACAACCACTAATCTGCTGATCTTCTTTCTGTTTCTATGGATTTGCATATACACACAATGGAATACTACTGAACAATAAAAAGGAACTAACTACTGATATACACAGGAACATTTTGGATCTCAAAAACATCCCATGGAATGAAACAATCCAGATGCAAAAAATTACGTGTTGTAAGATTCCATTTATATGGAATTTTGGAAAAACCAAAACCTTAAAAACAGGAAGCATGGCAGTGGTTGCCTGGGGCCAGGAATATGGGGGTGGGGATTGACTTGACTGTAAACGGGCAGAAGGCAGTTTTTTGGAGTGAAGGCACTGTTCAAAACTGGATTGTGTGATGTATACCTTTACCCAAATTCATCCAACTCTCTATTTTAAAAAGTTTATAAATGTAAATGATACCTCAGCAAAACTGTAAAAACCCAAACATATCTGTCTTCCACACTTACCAGCATATCTTCCTTCATAGTTTGGCTCCAAATCTCTTTCCAGCCTCACCTCTCACCTCTCTCTATGCATTCAGTCAACAAACATTCTCTGACACTTGCTGTGTGAAAACCCCTCAAGAGAACCTCCATCCTCAGGGAACTCACAGCCTAGTCAGAGCAGAAAGATAGGGCACCCAATCCTGATAAACATCAGGGAACCTAGAGGATCACTGAGTTTTTTTTTTTTTTCTTAGCTTATTTATTTTTTTAAAGTAATCTCTACACCCATCATGGGACTCAAACTCATGACCCCGAGATCAAGAGTCCCATGCTCTTCTGACTGAGCCAGCCAGGCGCCTTGATTATCGACTGAGTCTTAAAGGAGAGGAATGAGCACATACATTCCAGTCACTTTGAATTTCAAGTTTGAATCAAGTTTCAGTTTAACTTTTTGAAGAGGTAATGCATCTACAGGGTTCAAGAATAAAAGAAATTATACAGTGAAAAATTTCCTCCCATCCAGTTCCTACTCTACCCCATACAACCATTGTTGTTATAAACACATATTATTTTTCCTTCTTTTTAACAGAAAAGATAGCATAATATACACATTGTTTTGGACTTCATATTGTCATGTGGCAGTAAACCTTTGAGATCTTTCCATAAGGGTACAGTGAAAATTACCACTCTAATCATAGTTATATAGTATTTCATTGTATGGATGTGCCATAATTTATTTTATCCAGTCTCCTTTGGGTAAACATTTGAGTTTTTCCAACAGCCTGTTATGGCCAACAATGTTACAATGTGTACCCTCTTATAAGTGGTATATTGTGTGTTGTTTTGTTTGTATATGGCAAGTTTTTCTATGGCTATATATTGAATTCTTTTTTCAACCATTCCACAAACACGCCAACCACTTTCATATCCGTAGGCTGTTTTCTCTGCCCTGAAAGTCTTCACTCAGTCCTTTTCTACTGGCAAACTCCTACTTTACCTCAAAGTCCAGTTCAGATGTCACTTTCTTATGAAGGCTTCTGAATTCCCACAGGCAAGAATAGGTTGCTCCTTCTCTCTTTTTCTCACAGTAGTCCATGTCCACATCATCAGAATGATCTATTAACACTTCATTCTTGCCCCACTAGACTGGAGCTACTCAAGGGCATGGACTACATGGACTACAGTAAATTTATCTCTGAATCCCTTAGTAATACATACCTGGTTAAGTATCGAATAAAATGCGCATTGCATGAATGGTCAGGGCTGACAGAGGGGTTCGTACTGCTCCTGTCCCCTGCTTTCAGCTGCCTCTTGGTCTCTGTTAGTACTTCGAGGACTGTGGCCAGACAAAGGTGGGCTGTAATTTCCCTTCCTCTCCCACCTAATTCCTTCCTTCCTGCCTCCACCCCTTCCCTACCCTTGGGATTCTGTCCACAGCTGCCTTTGTGGCCCTTGCTGGATCTGGCATGGATAGCCGTTACTATAGTTTTCAGTACATTAAAATAAATAAATAAAATGGAGTATTGGCTCTACCCATCTTCTCTTTTCTTCATCAAGTCTTTGGCTTCCTATAAAGCTGAAAGAACAGATTACTTGAGAATCAAATGCACATCTGTCACCCTCAAACCTAATTTCCTTCACTTTAAGTCAAAGGAGATGACAGAGTTTACTATAGTGCTTTAGGAATGTGGGAAATGCTTATACTGTTTAGGGTAATCAATGTTAAATGATTTTCAAGGGCAACTTAGATTCTTTTTTAAAAACATTGGGTTAACTCTGAAATGTCATGGTGCTAACTCATGCCTGGAGCTGTCAATTGCTAGGTCACTTCCGTATTAAAAATTATTCTATTTCTTCCTTACTGGGCAGGGCTGGAGGTGGGGGCTCTCTTTCCCCACCTCTGGAATAAAAAGGCAAAAGCTCTATTTTCTCCTTACCCTGGAAAAGCTCCAAGTCAGGGAGGTGAGCCATCAAAGAAAACAAAAGGGAAAGAAAGCTTTCAAGCCTTTCTTTGCCTGCCCAGCTCAGAGATGGATATAGGATTGAAATGTTTCACCTGAAGAAGTCTCAGGAAAGGTGGTAGCTTAGGTCGCTTGGAGTGCTTTGGGACTGTGGTCTTCAAAATTTCTTGCTTGCATGTCTCTTAAAAGAAATTTGAGAAACCATGTTTCTTCTTGTACTTTTAAAGGTCATATCTCAAATGTTTCATCTTAAGTTTAAATAATGGCCAAGTTTGTTATTTCTGGCATAATAAGTATTGGCATTTTAAAATAAGATTGTTACATCATTCTGTAAGTGTATCCAAGGGAATCTAAATATCATAATGTACCTATCATCCATTTAAAAAATACATGAACAAGCTTTTCTTAAAAAGAAATTCTACATCACTCTTTTTCTCCTTATCTTGTATTTCCATTCCACTTGCCCCTGAACATTATAATATGAGATTTTACACTGGAAAGTCTTTTATTGCTCACCCTATCATATTTCCCTAAAAATTAAAAAAAAATCTTTGAGTC